TTGTGGCCTCTCCGTTGCGGAGCACAGGCTCCGGACGCGCAGGCTCAGTGGCCATGGCTCACGGGCCTAGCCGCTCTGCGGCATGTGGGATCTTCCCGGACCGGGGCACGAACCCGTGTCCCCTGCATCGGCAGGTGGACTCTCAACCACTGCGCCACCAGGGAAGCCCATAACTGCTGTTTTATTACATATAATTTTCCGAGAAATTCTTCAAAGTATATGAAATAAAAGGCAAAGCATCTTCAATTTCCTTACCGAGAATAGAAAAGATATGAAACTTTAAGCGTTAGAAAACATTTTATTGAAGAAAATATGCTAGCAACTCAGTAATCAACGAAAAATTTATTTGCTTTGACACTTTAAATTTAAATCTGACTGATAAGCAACTTTATTTAAAACTCTTCACCATTGTAAAGGAGAAATTAATATTTCTGGTCTTATCGTCCGTTACTTAAAGCGTTCCGTCTATAGGACCAAATTAGCCATTGATGGATTGAGGAAGAGGAAACCGCATTCCAAGGAGAAAAGGCTGAAGGCTCTACTCTGTAAATTGGTACCGGTCAGCACACAGCTTTGGCGGATATCCGAATCAGGTAAACGTTAAGTTTAGTTTTTGGTTCCTTCAACCACATATTTTGTTGAAGCTCAGTCATAATGTAACTCTGACTTGCTTAGCTCGGTGTCAGAAGCTAAATAAATGTTAACTATGGGAGAGGAGTTACGGTAACTAGTAAGTGGAAATGCAGGCTGAAACCTAGGGCATGCTTGTATTTCGAAAGAACCTGGTAATATATAAATCCCAAGCGTGTAAAAACACTTTATAAATTGTTCTTACAAACGTTACAGCAGTTTAAAGAAAAGGTTTGAAAAGAAAAATCTGTGATCGATAAGATTATAGAAAAGTACTGGAAAGGGGAGGTTATAAAAGATTAGCATAACAATCTTCTGCCCAATAAATAGGATTGATTTCTAGCCAATGAGATTACAGTTTCGTAAATTCCTAGTTTTTCTGGCCCAATCAAGACGAGGCCATGTCTATAAATAAGACTGCCTACGGGCCGGTGAATAAAACCAGTGAGATATCATGGCCCGTACGAAGCAGACTGCCCGCAAGTCCACCGGTGGCAAGGCCCCGCGGAAGCAGCTGGCCACCAAGGCGGCCCGCAAGAGCGCGCCGGCCACCGGCGGCGTTAAGAAGCCGCACCGCTACCGGCCGGGCACCGTGGCCCTGCGGGAGATCCGGCGCTACCAGAAGTCGACTGAGCTGCTGATCCGCAAGCTGCCCTTCCAGCGGCTAGTGCGCGAGATCGCGCAGGACTTCAAGACTGACTTGCGCTTCCAGAGCTCCGCCGTGATGGCGCTGCAGGAGGCGAGCGAGGCCTATCTGGTGGGGCTGTTTGAAGACACGAACTTGTGCGCCATCCACGCCAAGCGCGTGACCATCATGCCCAAAGACATCCAGCTGGCCCGCCGCATCCGCGGGGAGCGGGCTTAAGGCACGCGTTTTAAACTAGATGATTTAAAGGCTCTTTTCAGAGCCACCCACGTTTTCATAAAGAGCAGCTGTACCAGCTTTAAGCTTGTTGAGTTCCTAATGCACAAGTGTTCAGGGTAAAGTGGGTCGGGGAGTCTCGCACGTGTTGGGTGGTGAGGTTATGGAATTAGGCAGACAGACGCTAGAGGGACCACCAGAGGCACGGTCTGGGACGTGTCGGTCAAGTACTGCTTTTACTTGCTGGCTTTATTTTTTAGTCCAGAGCGCCAACCTTGCTAAACTTTGCAAGAGGATAGAATATGTTCTACCAGTCGTTTGTAACGCGCTCCAAAGTGCTAGTACAAAACGTTAGCACAAATCTGAATACTGAAATTAAGTGACACTTTAGAAGGCCGTCATTATGCGATAACTGTTGGGATGGCAATCTGGGTTTTCAGCCCGATTGTACAGTTACGAGAACTAGGCCGGATGTTAGATAAAATCTTCGATCCCCAAGTAGTTACTCGGGATTTCAACTAAGAAGGATGGAGGCAAGAGTCCCGAGATGTGTAAGAACCCATCTTCCTCGTTGCATAAGACAGGAGGCGCAAACCGCGAAAAAAAAAAAAAAAAAGAAAATGTGGGCTGAGGTATTGTTGCAAAAAACAAAATCAAACAAACTTCCACAAAGTAGTACAGAGGAGTAAAATGATGCAAAAATAAGAGAACGTTAACTTGTCTTTAGCTGGCACTTCAGATCTCCAAAAGTGAAAACCAATTAACAACAAAAGACCACAAACAGGTGAAACTACTTTTTACATAATTTAGTGGTTAGTGTGAAATGGAACATTTTGATTGGTTAACAAGACATTTGTTCTAAGGGCCACTGAGGGAGCGCAAGCAGAACCTTATTTACATGGACTCCGCCCCTCTATGACGACACTGTTGGATATTAACCAATAAAAACGTAATACTGTGCTAGTCTTCATTTGCATACAGGCTCTATAAGTAGCGCGTAACCAGCCTACTTCGGTGTAGTCGGGATCACTTCTACTGGTGTGTGGGGATTCTTCTGTGTGAAGATGCCGGATCCAGCAAAATCTGCTCCTGCTCCTAAGAAAGGTTCCAAAAAGGCTGTCACGAAAGTGCAGAAGAAAGACGGTAAGAAGCGCAAGCGCAGCCGGAAGGAGAGCTATTCTGTTTATGTATATAAAGTGCTGAAGCAGGTTCATCCAGACACCGGCATTTCGTCGAAGGCCATGGGTATTATGAATTCCTTCGTGAACGACATCTTCGAGCGCATCGCGGGCGAAGCGTCGCGCCTGGCGCATTACAACAAGCGGTCGACTATTACGTCCCGGGAGATCCAGACGGCTGTGCGCCTGCTGCTGCCCGGCGAGCTAGCCAAGCACGCCGTGTCGGAAGGCACCAAGGCGGTCACCAAGTACACCAGTTCGAAGTAAGCGTGCAAGAGACGAGCTAGAACATCTATTTTACCCCAAAGGCTCTTTTCAGAGCCACTTAAGTTACCGGGGAAAGTGGCTGTAAACACTTGATAAAAGGTGGGTTTAGTTGTTGGTTGGGTAGGGTGGGCCCATGATCACGAGTGCTTTTGGATGTGGGGCTAGATTGGGACCGTGATTGAACGTTGCCCTGTTAAAATCTGGCCTAGTGGTGCCACCTAGTGGTATGAGTCATGTTGCTGGTAACAAGTGATTGGTCCTTAAGGTGGTTCCTACTTAGTCTGAGTCCTCAATGGGACCTTAGGTACGGAGGAGCGGGGAAGGGCTGTCTCTTAAGCTAGTAAGCGAGTTGGGTTTTATTTTATTCTAGCGTACGGATAGCCCTATAGTTCCCCCAGTTCCCGCTGTTTCTAATGTTTTAATCTGTTTTTAAAATAAATCTTTAGGTGTCTGTCACAAACTTTCAACATCGCCAGATGCTTTAGTACGTTGGCCTATCTGTAAATCCCAACCTAGCCCCGTGACCCTCAACCAGATTTCCCACCCCACCCTCTCCGTCACACCCCCCCCCCCATGGGATATTGGCAATATCTGGAGACATTTTTGATTGCCATCACTTGGGGAGAGGGGCGCTACTGGCATCTAGTGGGTAGATGCCAGGGATGCTGCTAAACGTCCTATAATGCCTAGGAGAGCCTCCACTACCAAGAATTATTTGGTGAATGATGTTGACCCTTGCGCCAAGGTTGAGAGACCCAGTGACCAAAGACTCCCCTTCCTTCAGGATATTTTCCCTTCTGGGTTTAATCCTCATTTAGGTCAAACCTTTCCCCACTCCTACCCTGCTTTTGGTGAAAACTGAGCAGCACTTAAACTTACTGTGCTTGTTTACACTCCTCCACAGGAAAATTATCTTCAGGGCACGGACCTTGTCTTGGTTCTGTAACTCCTGGTTATAAGGCCCACCTCCAAGCTTGCTAAACATACTTCCAGGTGCCTCTCCTGAAGTTCCCTGATAAGGTCCCGTTGGAGGTGGGGGACTGGTGAGGTGGTTTTTAGTGTTCTCAGGTGTATGTTTTTAGAATAAATTTGGGGGGCATGGTGTACAAAAGGGCAGTTAACATGTGGGAATTTCTAAGGCCCTCTCAGTTCAAAACTTGCATAACTCAAGACCAATCCCGAAAAAGGCTGGATATTCTACCAAATAAAATATAACCTTGAGGCAAAAGGAAAAATCTTAGCTTCCAATTCACTTGACAGTCGAGGTTTGAAATTAAGCCATTCTTGGTTAAACTTGGGGGAATTTAAAATGAATTTTTAAGCTGCTTAAAATGAATTTTATTCATTTATAATGTAGGAGTTCGAATTTACATCTAATTAAAAGTTGCATAAAGTGGGCTGTATGTGATTTCTTTCTTTCACTGGTTTCCCTAGAGACTATCAGACAAGAGACCAGGGAAAGATGACTCAACTGAGAATCTAAAATTTCTAGTTGAAAGAAAAGAAATGATTATACAGCACATTTTATGGTAGGAAAAATCACTCTAAAAGTGAGAATTTACATGTGCCAGACCCTGTGCTAGGTGATGGGGATATACAGGTGCTCTCCTTCCCAAGTCCATGAAGTGCACCTGGAATTTTATTTGCGACCAATATATCAAGTATCCTCTGGGAATTTTTTTTTTAAGTTTTAGTTTTACCCAATTTTCACTGTAACATCTTTCAACTTTTTAATCATCTGATTTTTGTAAAATGGAATTCTTCATCGTTCCCTTTAAATTCTGTGACTAGGTGTCATTATTTCTGTACTCCTCATCCAGGTTGTAACATTTTCTTTTCACTTTGATATGTCTCTTTAAACTTAAAATTTTCACATAGACTATTTTTTAGGGTTTTTCATTATATTGGAAAGCTCTGGCTGTCCCACCCTCTTGCCCGCAAAGCAATTTAAGACACATTGTACTTGGCTCCCAGCATCTCAAACCTGCTGAAGCTTTCTTTGCTCACCATGATCCTAGCTTGAGAGAAATTTTATTTTCTTGTTCCCTGTGACATTTTCTTTTGCAGGAGGTATGACTATAGTAAAGCATGGGCAAAAGCCTTTTCTCAGTCATCCCAAATCAAATTTATCAGAAAATATTGTTGGCTTAAAATGTCCCATATCCAATCGTACTTGACACTTCTACTGCTGTCTTCCCACTCCAAGCCACCATCACACCTCCCAGGTATTTGCAATGACTTTCTGACTGGTCTCTTTGCTTCTGCCTCTACCCTCACTCTATTTTCCACAAACCAGCTAGAGTAAACTTTCTGAAACCTCTAAGTCAGATCATGTCACTGCCATCCTGCCCAACTGAAAATCCCCATATGGCTTCAGAGAGAAGGTCCACACTGATACAATGGCCCACATCCACCTCCTCTCTTACCACTCTCCCTTTTGTTTGTTCTGTTTCATCACACTTGTCTCCCTGCTCTACCTCGAATACACCAAGGCCCTCCTATCTCAGGGTCTTTGTGCTTGCCATTTCTTCTGGAAAAGCTTTTCCCCCAGATATTTATATGACTGGCTTCCTCATTTCTTAGGCTTCTTCTCAAAACTTCCATTACTCTTCAGTCCTTCCTTGACTTATGTAAGATAGCAAGCCCACCTCCCTCTCTCCCCCCATTTCTTGGTACTCCTTGTCCCCATACCTTGCTAAATTTTCTTCCGTGTATCATCTGAATACTAATGTATTTATTTACTTATTTGTTTACTACTGAATCAGAGACTGCTACTCATAAAAGCTGTTCTTCTTTGCTTACTTTAACCCCCTGCTTTATGGGTGCATGGCTTCTCAGTTAAAGGCTAATTTACCAGCTTTTCTTGCATCTGGGTTTGTACATAAGACAAAGTTCTGAGCCAATGAGATATGAATGGAAGTGATACATATTATTTCTAGTTTGTGTCCTAAAAAGGAATAGATATGTGCTGCCCTTGCCTTTTTACCCTCTCCCCTGGCTGGATTACAGATACAATGGCAGGAACTATGGCAGCCACTCTGGGCCCAGAAACAGAAGCCATGTGATGAGAATGGCAGAACTGTTCTACTAACCCTGGATGTGAGAGATGAATAAACTTGTATTTTTTTAAGCCATTTTTTAAAAAAATATTTGCCACAATGATTTAGACTGTTCTCCAACCAATACGTTGTCTGACTCTCCTCCTACCTTCTCAGAGTAAGTCCTGTGAAGGTAGGTACTTTGTTTTGTTCACTGCTTTTTGCCCATCATCTCGAGCTGTACCTGGAATAGAGTGGGCACTCCGTAAATACTGATGGGATGAATAGATTGATGAGGGAAGGAGTGGTTGAGAGGGAGGGCAGTGGGATTGAATTTATGAGATGCAGAACTCTAAGAGTTGGCTTTAACAAAAAATGATTTTAAAAATCTTTTGCCCTCTGAATGGGGAACAGCACAATACGGAGTGAAGGTCTAGGTGAAGTTGCAGGCACCATGGTCCACAAATCAGTTTAGAAGCTTCATAGTGTAAGTTGTTGGGTATTTAAGGATACTTACCTACACTAACTCAGAAGCAGTAAGAGAGTAAAGGAAAACTTTTGTTTCCTCTACTATTCTCAGTACTTCTGGCCACCAAGTATGTGGGTTTTCCACACCAAGCAATCCTGACATTAACTACATGAAGTTAGTGCAGACCCCACAGGTTAAGGGCTCCGTCCAAAAAGATTGCCCCTCCACCCCCTATACCAACTTCAGACGCCAATCACAAGTAGTGGATCCCTAGGTTACACACACCTCTGCCAGTCTTGGCTACAAATCAGGAGTTCCCACAACCCCCTCCTCAGATTCAATAATTTTCTATAACAGCTTACAGTACTCAGGGAAACACGTTTACCAGTCTATTATAAAGGAAATAGTAAAGGATACAGATGACCAGCCAGATGAAGATGTACATAGGGCAAGTGTCCTGAGTGCAGGAGCTTCTGTCCCCGTGTAATTGGGGTGTCCATGTGGCTCCCTGGCATGTGGATATGTTCACTGACCCAGAAGCTTTCTGAATCTCATAGTTTAGGGGTTTTTATGGAGGCTTCATCAAGTAGGCATGATGGATTATTAACTCAACCTCCAGTCCCTCTCTCTTCCCTGGAGGATGGGGGGTGTGGGGTTAACAGCTTCAATCTTCTAATCATAGCCTGGCCTTTCTGGTGACCAGCCCCTGTCCTGAAGCTACCCAGGAGTCCACCAAGAGTCGTCTCATTAGAACAAAATATGCTCCTATTACCCTGGAAATTCCAAGGGATTTAGGAGCTCTATGTCAGGAATTGGGGTCAAAGACCAAATATTAGAACAAATGATGTTCTTAGCACCCCTATCACTCAGGGAATTACAAGAGTTTTAGGAGCTCTGTGTTAGAAACTAGGGGAAGAGATCAAAAATACATTTATTATGTCACAGTCCAGCCCCTGGTCTCTGGCCATGGACTCCTTATAGCAAACCAATTATAAAAGTCGAAAGATACTGGCTGAAAGGCAGTGTACTGTAGTAGTGATGGACATTAGCTTTTGAGTCCCAGCTAACCCACCTAAGAGCTATATGACCTTGGGAAAGTTTCTTTACTCTTCTGAACCTCAATTTCCTCATCTGTAAAATGAGAAAAATAATGGAACGTACCCTCAAGACTTGTGAAGATTAAATGAGATAATGTACTTAATGCACTTAGTACAGCAGCTGGAACATGGCAACTATTCGATCAGTGTTTCTCCCATTATTGTGGCTGGGAAGGCACTTGCATGAGCACCCTTGTACCTCCAGAGCACATTTCCTTCCCAACAAGTTGTGCTTTAAGAGATTTCTAGTGATTTGAGAGTCAACTCCCTAAGCATCTTGCAGTAGAGCAGTAAGACCTTCTTTATCTTAAAAACATCCAAGAAGGCAATGCCACAATTTACTTGCTGGGCCTCTGATGCTGTAGAATCTTTAAGTATCTGCTATGTGTCCCAAAAGGGAAAAAAATGAATTAAATAATAGAAGACCTTATTTCTAGTGTCTGTTACTAGTGCTCTGTAAAGACCAATATAATCTTTGGCAAATACCTTTAAAAAACATATCAGACGATGTTTGCAATACCTCCCATCAATGCTTTCAGAAAAAATTGAAATACTTTCATCTCAATACTTCTTTCTGATTTCTGAGTTGAAAGCTCTGAATTTTGAGGATTTAACACAAGAGCAAACCAAATGAATAGAAATGATGTAGGCATACTATCAGGTAGCACAGAGAAGGACACACCTTATAACCAAAAGGAGAATGTGCAGATATTTGGTAAACGTTTAATTAGAAATTCAAAAATGAGCTTGGTGGAGTCAGGTTGATGACTTCTGAGTTCTTCATTTCTGCTTGTTAATGTACTTCGTGTTTTTCCTCTCAGTATTTTCAAGATGAAGCTCCTGTTCCTGTCACTATTCAGGAATGAAAGTTTCCCCAAGAATATAAGACTTTCTTATTCAAACTACAGTCCAAGGAGTGGTAAACAAGTAAGATGGCAGTCCCAAGACCTCAATATTTCTTTTCTTTGACCAAGAACTCATTACACAATAGATGAGATATTTCAGATGGTTCTGCTAAAAAGCAGCATAAGAATCTAGAGAGTATCACTATCAACCAATCCAAGGAACTTTGCTTTAGATGGCCAAAACCAGAAACATAGAGCAAAGTAAGAGAATAGAGCTTGAGCAGTTCTTTAGCATTTTTCCTTGAAGGATCCAAACCTGGATGCTGACGTATAGTCCCAAGGATGGTAAAGAGGTAATAGCTTGGGACTGGCTGAGTATTTTGAGAGAGATATTGCCAGATCAAGATCTCATTTGATCTTGGGACTGAGGCAGCACAAGGCACCCAGAAGGAGGAATTCTTGTGGCAAAAAATGGAGGATGCAGATTTGTGAAATGA